TCACCTTGAAAATGCCTCAAGTAAGTTTCTACATATATTGTTAATAAATTATTTTTCTCTTGTTTTCAAGCCATCGACTTTGACAAAAAGTAAGAGCACTAAACAAAAACTTTTAAACAATTTATATAATTTAATCCATTCAAAAATACTTTGTAATAAAGAAAGTCACTTTTACGTTTTCGAAAACACCTCAAATGAGTTTATAAATATAATTTTAGGCATTGTGTCTGTTTTTGATATTTAAGTCATTAGTCTATACAAAAATTTTTAAATTTGTAAAACTCCTCAAATCAGCGAAAACACTTTACAGTGAACGAAATAAATTTTTTGGCTTGAAGCACCTTATATATACTCTTAAATAGTAATCTTTTGTACCTTAAATATGGAAAGTTCAAAGTTCTTAAATTTATAAAACTTCTCAAATTAATGAAACCACTTTATAGAGAATGAAATAAATTTTTTTGGCTTGAAGTACCTTATATATACTCTTAAATAGTAATCTTTTGTACCTTAAATTTAGAAAGTTCAAGATTCTTAAATTTATAAAGCCTCCTCAAATTAACGAAAAAGCACCTTATGGTGAGGGAAATAATTTTTTTTCTGCTTGAGGCACCTTAAATATGCTCTTAAGTAATAATCATCTGTTCCTTAAAAGCACTTACTCATCTGTTCCTTAAAGGCACCATTTGATTTTACTTTTAGGCTTTTAGTAATATATGTTTACTATTTGAAAAAATAGTAGAATAATCACAGGAGCAATTTTGGCATGAAAATATTTCCTACCTGCAAATATGAGCTTCTTGATAATATTTTTAGAGACAAGTTGGTAATGATATAGTAAAAAGTTGAAAATAAAGAAGGTAGGTGAGATTTCTCAAAATTCAGGAGCATGAACTAATATAATCGCAAACCTCATAGAAGGGTTCTTGAAATTATCATATAAATAAGTATTTAAAGTTTCCTAGAGTAGTGGTGTATAAAAAGCATCCTACTTTTACCCTTCGCAAACAATCCGGACCTGCAAGTTTGAAGGAATCAAAGAATAAAAAAGCTAGGAAAATGCTTGAGATAGAGCTTCCAAGCTCCAAATGTCAAAAATGCTTATATCACTGTGAATCTTATATATCGGGGAAATTTGGCGGAAGCAAAATATCAGCGGGCCAACGAGCGGCCGATATGGAACGTGGGCTGGTGGGCCTACGTTAGAAAGGCTTTTCTAATCTATCCATTTCATTCCAATATTTGACATACAAATATATATATATATATATATATATATATATATATATTTATTTATTTATATATATATATATTTTTTTTGGGAAGACCTTACCTTCTTAAAAAACCTATTTCAACTTTATTTTTTGGATTCTCATTCTTTGAAAACCTCATTCCCACTCTACTCACCGAACACCTAAATTGTAAAGGTCAAGTTTGCTTTTTCATACTCCTCTGCCTTTTATATACGTGTCAATAATATTAGATTACTTGTGAATTAGTAACTGTTGGACTTAGGTTTTATCGCACCAACTGTTATTTTATTGGGTTTAGATTTTATCCCACCAACCAATCCCGACAAAATAACGGTTGGTGAGATAAAATCCAAACCCAACAGTAACATCTGTTACTTTATAGTTCTATTAATTAATAACATTTGCTCTCTTTAATAATATATTTAATTAAAAATTTTAACATCTTTTTATTTATAAAATTGGATTATATGACAACATTTGTCAACTCAAAAGAAGTAATAACATGCCAATTCATATGCACTTTAATAAATAAAGAAGGAAAAAAAAACGTTGCTATACCATCCAATAAGTGACAAATATACATTTTTTGTTTATAAATAGTTTTAAAGATCAAAAAGAAGCAAATCAAAAGGACATACGAATTGATATGTATGCTATTTGGATATTCAATTTGGCTAAATCAGTATTCAACTATTGTAATTGTCTATTACCAAAAAGTTATTTTTATTATTATTAAGTCATAGTCATATGTTTCTAAATATAATATCTATGGAACATGTTCTTGCTTGCTAGTGTAGTTGCAAATCAAACAAAAAAAAAAAAACTAGCCATTTATATGATACTGCCAAAAAATGAAAAAGAAATGTTTTATGTTATATTTAGGGTAATTAAGTTAATATAATAAGGGAGAAGTGATAGGTTAGGTGGTTTGAGGAGGGGGAGTGTGAGTAAGCGATTTTGAATTCCTACCTTACTACTTACACTAAAAAAAAAATTTAATATAATAAATTTTTCATTTCATTTTACCTTCTTAATATGATTATGCCAAATGTTAAAAAAGAAATACACATTTATTTTGTATAAAGTGCATTAGGGATAGGTTGAATAGTTCGAGGGAAGAAGTATGAGTGAAATCTTTTGATTTAAACCCTTTCACTTATACTTAAAAAGAAAAACCTGTATAATAAATTTTTCATTCCACTTTGCCTTCTCAATGTGATTATGCCCAATGTTGGAAAAGAAATACACATTCAATTGTGAACTTCCCTTACTTAACATTGGAATAATAAATGATCAAAACTTGAGTCTTGGGTAGATCGGATTTTCAAAAATTCAATGAACAAAATTGTGCTACATCACCAAATTATATCACACTACTCGATGAAAAGATATGATACAATTTGAACCATTAGATCTTTGAAAATCGGATCCATTCAAGCTTGAGCCATAATAAATAGTTTATTTTGTTGTGACTTCGATTACCTAACATTGGAGTATAAATAGTTTCCGTCCATTCTTGCGAAAAAAAAAAAAGAAAAGGAATTTTGATAGACCATTCCTGCGTATCCAAACAATAGGCTATAGTACATGGAAGCAAGTAGAAGTATGCAATAGATTGGGAAACATTCAGAAGGTTAGCTAAGGTAAATCACAAGATTGAAAGAACAGCTGTTTGGATTCATCAGAAATAGCTGTCAGAGAAGGATGGAGAATTGGAAGAATAAATGACTGAATACTGCAATGAAGCAAATACTACTAAAAGTCATCACAATGGCTTTACCTATATATGCTATGTCCTGTTTCAAATTACCAAGAAAGCTACGTAAGGCTATTAGTTCTATGATGGTTAGATTCTGATGGGGGGAAGAAAATGGAAGGAGAAAGATGCATTGGTGCTCCTGGAGTAGGTTTACCAAGGACAAAAGTAGAAGGGGATTGGGATTCAAAAACCTGCAGGATTTCAATAAGGCTCTACTGGGAAAGCAAATCTAGATACTAGTGACATGTCCTAATCTATTGATAAGCAAGATCATGAAGGCCAAGTATTATCTAACTAGTTCAATATTCTAATGCAAGGTGAGCCAAACAGCTTCATAGATATGGAAAAGCCTGATTAGTGTTAGAGAGGATATGGGGAGGGCATTTGGAGAAGAATTGGGAATGGTAAGAGAACTCGATTTTGGGAAGATAGATGGATTCCAAATAACAAAGAGGGGAAATAAACAACCAACAAGCCTCAGAACTACAGTTTACAAAAAGTGGAACAATTGATAACAAATTTCAGATGGAATAAACACTTGATCTTCATAACTTTTATAATGGGAAAGATGCTGTAGAAATACAAAAAAATTCAATTAGCCTGACAGGAAGGGAAGACTGCAATTTCTGGATAGAGAACAATGATGATAATTATTCTGTCAAATCAGCTTATAAGTTTTTGAGTAGAGGAAAGGATATTCAGCAAAAGGTGTCCAGATGGCAAGGGGAATCAAGCGCCATTGGACAAAAAGAGAATGAGCGGAGGCGGATGTGGAGACTGAACATTCAAGGCAAATTGAAGAACTTTATGTGGAAATGCTTGAACAAAGCTCTTCCAGTGAAAGAACTGGTATATTGTGGAACAAAAAATGGGAGAGCCAATATGCTTGATTTGTGGGAAAGAAAAGGAGACAGTGGAACACTTGTTTTTTTTTTCTGCAATCAAGCAAAGAAGTCTGGAGATTGGCCCCATTGCAGTGGGATGGACTTGTAGATTATAGAGGAAATTTCAATTAATAGTAGTGTGGTCTAATGGAAGCTACAAGCAGGACTGACGGAAATCACCATTAAGCACATACTGTCAATATACTCTGACAATTGTGGAAAGTTAGGAATGAGAAGATTTTCAACAATAGATTCCGTCAGGTTTTTGAAATTGTACAGAAAACGCACCTAGAGTGGTTAGAGTACACTGAAGCTCAAAGTAGTGACAGGTGAGTGAGCATTCAAGAAATAACATCAAGGAATGAGGAAGAATAGTACAACAATGATGAAAGCAGTCTGATGAACATTGTGATGGAAGTCACCTAGCAAGAGGAAGGAAAGCCACTAGGAATTGGTATAGTGGCTACTCAAGGCAATAATACATATGCTATCTGGGCCATAAGGGAAAGAAGCACAGGAGATAACAAGTTTGTTTGGATTGTAAGTTATTTAAAATATTTTTACTGTAGTACTTTTTGTGATGTGATGTATGGGAGGATAAAAAGGTAATTGAGAATATAAGAAGATGTATTGAAAATTGTAATAATAATGTAAGCAAATATATTTGAAAAAATAATCAACTGTTCAAACAAACCCGTTGTTGGACCATACCGCAGCGATCAAACTAACACTGTGTAAGGCTAGGGAGAAGCTCTGGCAGCAGTTAAAGTGCAAGTGTCATCTCCTCAGTTGATACGTTACTTGAGGACGAATAAAGCACAAGACATAAGACATTTTGCCGAGTTGGAAGACATTCAAATGCTAAGATCTTTATTTATGAAATGCACATTTAGCTTGATGTAATATGATAAGTAGAAGATTTAGTATTTATGTTATTAAGTTAGCGCAATATGAGGAATATTTAAATTCTCAGTGTCCTAGGACACTTTTGTAAAACTCAAAATGGATCTTTTGCTCAAGTTGTATAGCTTGTTTTTGATATCAACAAATATTTATGACGTATTTAAATAGCTTGCGAGAAAGGAACTCCATAAATTATCGAGAGGCAATAGATTAATTTGTCGGGCTCCCTCGTGCCTACCCCACTAGGCCTTTTATTTTAGGTTCCACCTTTAATTTCGCATCATCGTCATTAACGTTAATCTCACATATTTTTAGTGGGTGTTTGGCGTGCAAAAGATCTGCTGGTTTCACATAGTTAACTTTATTGAGCAAGATCAAGAGAAAATAAATACTGTAACCTAGTTCACTCCGTACAAATAAAGTAGCGGGGCATCGAGGACTGCAGGCCGATAAAGGAAAAGCATGGAAGTAGCACAGTTGCAGAAACGATTTCTGGAGTTGATATCAACCGTTTATCAAGAGGTGAGTTGCTTTTACGGATTTTATTAATTGGATTTAACTTATTTGATCTTGATTAGAGGTTTTTCCTTTTTCATTTGATTTGGCGTTATTCGTTTGATTGTCTTGGGGAAAAAAGGGGTTTTTGGATGATCAGTTCGTACAGCTTCAGAAACTGCAAGATGAGAGCAACCCGGATTTTGTGGTTGAAGTGGTGTCCCTCTTCTTTGAGGATTCTGAGAAGCTTCTCAACAATGTGGCGACTGCCCTGTAAGCTATCTTTACATTTGCTGATTAGTCCTTTCAAGATTATCTATTAATAGCATGTTAATAGTCTTTTTATTCGGTTGATTTTTGAGTTGCGGTTTAATTTGGTTTTTTCAATGGCACAGTCAACAACCAATTGTGGATTTTAAGCAGGTCGATGCTTATGTCCACCAATTCAAGGGTAGCAGTTCTAGGTAAAAAAAAAAAAAAGATACTAAAAGTTTTCCTTTTTGTTGGTTTTCTTCCCTTACTTTTAATTTTCTTAGTTCTTTACCTCCATATATGCTTCTGGCTGGCTAGTAGAATAGAACCGAAAAATACGGACCACTTCTTTGTAATTAGGTTATATTCCACGTCTTTGCTCTAGCTAATTTTGAACTCCACTAAATTGACTTCAGGATTAACATCTACTGACGCAAATTACTATGCATTTTTTGATGATTAGTCTTCTGTCGTGGAAAAATTCGAATATATGACAAGGGATTATGTCTCTTCTAACAGCATAGGTGCACAGAGAGTGAAGAATGCATGTGGTGCTTTTAGAAATTTTTGTGAGGAAAAGAACCTGGATGGGTGAGTTTTGAATTGGCAGCTTGGCCTTGCTGTATAGTGTTGTTGAAGTGACTGAGCACCTTGTATGCAGGTGTTTGAAATGTCTACAACATGTGAAAAATGAATACGCTCTTGTGAAGAGCAAGCTTGAATATTTATTTATGGTAAGCGTTTGTCTTGAAGGAATTTTTATACACGAGGCTTGGTTATATTCTTCAAGCATATTTCAGTAGTAATGTTGCTTAGTGGTTAAAAATATTGAAGGCAATTTTGTCTAAAATTCAACAGCATTCTCTTTCAAATTCATTATGCTGATTACCCTCCTGTAAAAAACGAATTAAAAGAATGAATAAGATTGTTAAAGGTAGTATGCTGAAAGGGAATATAGAAAGGCAAAAGCTTTTGACATTCTCGTTTCTTTCACTCTCATTTTGCGTCATCCTTGGATATGGTTTATGTGGTTCCTCAACCACTAACGAAATGCATATTACCCACTTTACCTTTTAATGCAACTGCTTGTCACCCGTAGTCATATTGAATAATCTATTCTACTATCTCTTTTGTTCAGCTGGAGCAACAAATAGTGGCAGCTGGTGGCATGATACCCGTAATTCCATAAGTATCTCCATTTAGCCTACTCGCAAAAAGGGTAAGCTGCGTTGTCATGTAATCTGGCCCCCTGGTTAGAGGTTGATAAGGAAGGTGCCCTGACTGTCAGACAGAGATAAATTGCTTCAGAAATTAGAAATTCTATCAGCAATGGATTCTGCTTTTTGCCCAAAAAAGAAAAAAAAAACTGGATTCTGCTTTCTAATGTTCCACTGAAATGTTTTTTTTTAAGTAAGCTTTTGATGTTCCATTTTCCCTTCGTTACACTCATATCGTGCATTGATTGTTTGATCACTTGGCTAAGAGTTGCTGAGAGTTTTGTATAGTGCCAAATTACTTTTTATTAAGAAGATGATTGGCATTTTGTTTGGAAATGATCATCCTGTTTGTTCTCTTAGTTTAGGACAGCATCAATTTTGAGGGCGGAGGTACACCTTTGCGATTAATCTTATTGAAGCAAATGTCTGGTTCAGGTGTTAGTCAATTTAAGTGCTGTACTAATCTGGTTTAAGAAATTGTCATTCGACGAGTAACATAGAGGAAGGCTAAAAGAATAGCAGGTTTAACTTCTGCCGTCACCACATTCAATTTCCAGAAGATTTAACAATAAAGCCGTGTGGCATGCTGCTCTGCAGATTGCGTTTCCTAGCTCCATTGCCTTTTTATGCTGCTGGCATCCTTCTATGATGGAAGTTCGGCATGGCACTTTTGTTGGTGTAGCTGGAAGTATGAACCTGGTTATGCTTTGCTTTTGTGAATTTGGCTTGCCTTAGTTCTTGCATTTTCCCTCTTTCCTCATGGGCGCTGAAGAAAGGCCTAGGACTACAATGTGAAGACAAAACCTACATCTTCTTATTGATCGCATCTTCAGAAAATGGAATGTGCCGACCTCTGCTGGGAGCTGTTACTTTGTTGCGATAAGTCTGTCATTACATATTTCTTGGCCTGCCTTAGTTTGTGTTGCTCTTTTAAATTTCTATGGCATAAGTTCATTTCATTATAGTGAAAATATACTCACTCACCCAAAAATGGCAGCTCAAAGTGGAAGCTAAGGTTGTGTTTGGATTGCATATTCCGTCATTTTTCATGGAAAAATTACTGTAGCGATTTGATATATGTGAGGGAAAAAGGCGATAGGGAAATGTGATCACGGAAAACGATAATATTTTTCGACAGAAACAAGCAATCCAAACAAGGCTTTTGCGCGGTTAGTGCTTCCCTTGATGGAAACCAGTAATTATAGTTTGTTTGATTTTGTTGAATTGGCAACAAGGCTTTGGGGGAATTGCGAAAGTGACGTTTTTTCAACCTTTTGTGATTGTGACGACATGGTTAACCCCTTCTTCCTGGAAGTACCCAACTAACATTTTGTAATTGTGACGACCGTTGCTTCGTCAATAAGATTGTGCCTTCTCCAAGGGGGAGATGATTCTTTCTTTTCCAGTCGGTGCGTCCAGCCTCTCGAGTAGAACGTTCCCATGTTTCCAAAGCCCGAGAGAAGCCTAAAACTGGGTCCTTTTTTTTTGTTTCAGAAGGTTAAATTCACCGCCACCGGACGTATGATAGAGAATAGGGAGGAAGTCACATGCTGCTGCTGTATATCCTCCTCGGCTCTTGCTCATGGTTTTTAACCGTGAGGATTTTCAGTCTGGAATTGTTGTCTCTTCACCGTCACCATCCATCATCATCATGTTGAGATTTCTCCTCCCATAAAAATGAAAAGTTTTTGCCTGTGGATTCTGGTAGTCAAGTCGCATGCAAGAGCTGTTTGGCAAAACAGATACTACTGCCGCCACTACTACTACCAGTACCAGTACCACTGAGGTGAGGTGCGTTGTCCCGCAGTTGTATTGTACGTCACAACTAACCTCTCTTACGGTTACGGACGGACTCCTTTGGTGCTTCATATTCTATGTATGTGGATCTATTGTTGTTGGGCCCGGAAAAGGAGGTTCGCCAATTGGCAAGTACTACAGGAGGACCACCAAAATTTGGTCCCCAAGCCCCGAAGATTAAGAATAATAGGTTTGTTTGGATTGAGCATTATTTACCCAATTTTATTTGTTTAAATCATCATTACAATTTTCAATACACCTTTTTACCTTTCCAATTACCTTTTTATCTCACATACATCACATCACAAAAAGTGCTACAGTAAAAATATTCCAAATAATCCCAAATAACTTACAATCCAAACAAACCTAATGTGATGCTACCAGACCGCATCGCTGATTGGACCTCAATGTTACCACTTGCCAATCCCATTTTCGTAGAGATAGATGGATCTCAATTGGATGCTTGGCGGCCGTCTGCAAAATGTAAAACCGCTTGCGGCCCCGTTAATTGGGGACCGACTTTGCTCACGATCAGTAACGCTGATTACCCGCTCAAGAATGAAGAATTGCTCACGATGCATCAACTACAATTTTTTCCTCTTAATTAAATTAATAGTCGTTCGTGTGTATTTATTTCTAAAAGTTGAGTATGCCTTGGGGAAAAGGAAACTTTGGAGGACTTTGGGCTCTTTGACCCATGCTATTATTATCTACTATCTTATAAAGTCCATGTCGTTGCGTGAATGAGAAGGTTTCGTGCTTGAACTCAACGGCAACGCTGCAAGCAATAAGATGAATGTTAAAAGAATTGGGACCATATATTATAGGATGGCAAACCATTTGACGGATGGTTACTTCAGTACTACTAACTAAGAGTAAAGTTTTAGGTTCCCACAGGCCCCACCAGCTTAAGAGTAAATTTTTTTTTTTTTTTCTGAGAACAGGAAAAAGATTAAAGAAGATCGAACCAATACAAAAATGTGAAAAAAAAAAATTTAAGAATAAAACATAAAACCGAAATCCAAGTCTTGGCATTTTTCAATGATTTTGTGGTGACGAAACGTTTGCTGCTGCTTTAAAAGTTTAATGAGGAAGAACATCTTTCCCTCTAGACTTCCATTCGCCTGTAGACTTTTCAATTCATTCGAAACTTTCCTGAGTTGGAGCGGCCGTTTTCCGTCGAAAAATTACGTCATTTTTCGTAAACATATTTTCCTATTACCTTTTTTCCTCACATACGTCAAATCGCTACAGTAGAAAAATGATGAAAAATGCAATCCAAACAGGTTCTAAAAAACTTTTGTTTGGCGCTCCACCAAATAGGCACGTACTTTATCATTGAAAGCCTATTCAATTCGGTCAACAACATTTCCAGGGTGAGTGATTCTTCTAATTTCTAAACTCGGAACTGGCGATTAGAAAATGTGGGCTAATTTATGACTGATCAACTTAAATGTGGGCTAATGTAGACATGCAAGTGATATTTGCACTTCGGGTTCGTAGCACTCCGTTCTAACATTTTATTACGTGACAAAAGAATGGAGTTGCAGTAAATTATTTTAGATTAAATCTTATATATACTGATTGATTCACGGTATATACACTATCATGGTTGGATGCACGATATATATATATGTAAAATTTTAATTTGGATTATATGAATTTTTGTAAGCTGCGTAGCTTCAGTAAAAAAAAATATGTATATATTTGACCTCTCACTGCACCGCACTGGTAAATACGGATAACGAAAGCGGGGCGGGGTAAGTAGGTGATCAGCAGCTGGACGAAAGAGACACCGCACCTAAGCACATAAATACACACATTCCCTGATTTTGATTCTGGGCTCAAAATCTGTGCAAGACCAAACCAGAACCCCATCCAAAACTATTCATCCCTGATAGTGCAATAATTGTATCGTAGTAATGCATCGCCTTCTCCCCCAGTCCTCCTCCCCCCAAAAAAAAAAAACTCAGTCCCCACTCCCTAGAATTTTAGCGGAAGGATGATGAGGATAGTGGCTGCGGTCGTTGGGTTTGGTGCAATCAACAAACACGCATCTCCATACGCACCACTCCCTCCTCACTTGGCCGGCCCTCCCTCTTTGCGCATGTCTCCCATGAAATTCTTGCCGTGCCTCCATATTATCCAATACATCCCATGATCCCGCCCCAAGGCAGACTAAAATTACTAGTACCACACTCGGTATAATGAAACAAATTTAAGAAAGAAACAGACGGCGTGTAATATTGGAGGCAATTGTAAGAAACTGTTTAATCATGACAGATCACTTGTGGTGGGGGAAGGTCAGTTTAATGAACCGATCGAAGGGCAAATACTGTCAAAGAGCTGCGGTCCATGCATGGATGGCTGCAGGCTCCTTTTTATCCCTGCCTGCATTAAGGAAACGGCAGCTAAAAGCAAAGGTTGGCAAAATTCAAAAGGGAAGAAACCCTTTTCGATCAAGGAGCTTTCATTTCCATTGTAGTAGTAATTAATGTTTGATCTTCACCTGTATGCCACTACTTGGAGTACGTGTTTGATTCTGCCGCTTTTACAACCACCTTGTTTGCTGGAGCTCATGAATATGACTACTACTTTCATTCAAATACTAGTCTGTCTTTTGTCGTTCGTTTGTTGAGACTAATCAAAGATATGATGATATGCATCCCGTGGCCGTGGGGCGGGACCAGATGGGCATATGATTATTTATGACATCCATATGGAAGTTGGAACCAATCAGCTTTTCTGTCTTCCTTGCTACTAGTACAATTTATAACTCTTCCTCCTCGACTTGGTTGGCTCACTTTAGGGTTGAATTTCGTTTCATTTTTTTACACCGAAACTACTGATCACAAGAACCAAAAATCCATTCCCGTACTACGCAATTCAATTTCCTGAGCCCAAATTAATTAGCCCTTCTGATTGATTTTTTTTTTTTCTGTCTTTTTGGCTATGTGGTAATTTCTTGTCCCTTGGTTAATAATAATAGGCTGTGAGTTCGATACTAGTATACTGTTGATGATAGAAAAAAGAATAGTAAACTGTTCAGTCTTTCCTTACGCTGAGGATGACCATAAATTCCGAAAAAAGAAAAAGAAAGATGTGCTCAGACAGCACATCCCACCGCCATGCCCAAAATGCTTTAATTTCCTGAGAATGATTAAAGGCAGAGTAAGTTTGGTCCGTAAAGCAAATGTCATTACCTAATACTAGCCGTATTAGGTGATACAAAATGATGGCAGAATTATTAAAAGTGGGGATGAACCATGAGCTATCAAGTTGATATTACTGTATCACCATGCTGCACTAGTAGTATTTTAGTATAAGCTTTGGCCACTCTTTAGCACATTTTCCTACATTTCCGTGTCAAAAAGAAGTGTGATCTATTTTTAATTTATGATTCATTGGCGTTCTCTTTTTTCCAACTCACGAAACAATCTAACAACCCCTGTCCCCTTGCTTTTGGTTCCCAGCAACAAGGTGTCAATTATGTATCGTGCCTGTGTTCTTTGAAAAAAAAATTTTAATCCATGCCCCCCTGCCTCGCTCCCTAATGAATGAGAAGAGTTTTCTTTTTGGACCATCTGTCCAGTGTAGGACCCAAATGCTTGCGGAGACGGCCCAAGATTGTAAGCGGACTACTTCGGACTCGAGACTCTGAAAAGACTTTTATTACCATTAATAGTGCTCTTTTCTTTTTGACCTTTTGGGATGGTTATGAAACGTCTACGCTGTGCGGTTGATGTTAGTCGGAAGGCCGGGACAGTACCATTGCAGCAATAGGCGGAGGCATTTTTATCCTGTGACAAAATGTTATAGCGACGGAAAAGAAGAAAATTTGGCGTTAATCCGGTATTAGATCTTAACATATGTGTGAAACCGGATGCAATTGTAGCCCCCCCCCCAAAAAAAAAAAAAAAATCAATCCCTGTTTGACTAAAAAGTATGACCAAGGACTAGAAAGACTTGAGCCCCAAGTCATCATCCGATGCTTTTTCAGGCCTCTGAAAAACAGAGCCTGAGGATAGAAGCTGGCAAGAAGGAAAAAGGGATCAGAGCTGCTCTAGGGGAGAGGACAACAAGAAGAAGGCGTTGAGCGGAGCGGCGGGGACCAATGGCACCAGTGGTTTCGGCGAAGATGTTTTACAACCTCCCCCACCCGCGTCTCAAATCCTCTGTCCCTGAATAATTCTCTATCCTGTACGTCCCAAATTTGCGTAGTTATCACGTGTATTGATATATTGATAAATCAATTAAACT